GTAGTATATAGGGTTGTATTTGAGAATCAAATAATTTAAAATAATGAAATAAATCCAAGCTTAGGGATAACAGAGTGGACTTGTTATAGAGCTTTCACTGCTCCGGTAGTGATGTTAGTTACAGACTTATTCAGATTCAGTGCGAAAGGTCCAAGGTTCGATCCCCGGCCGCGTCATACCAAAAGACGTTAAAAAATGGTACTTGTTGTTACCCTATCTTGCGCTTGGCATTAAGGAGCTAAAACAAGTTCTGGTCGGCTCGGAGCAAGTTTCCTGTGTCTGAGTGGGGTATCATGTTAAACTGTGGCATGGTATCTCCACGGGCTAACACTATATAATCGGCATCAGACTTTTCTAACCGACAAACAAACACGTGCATGCACGTCGCTATATAAGTGCAATAATTTTGGACGCAACGTTAAACCCAATTTCACCTTCCCTTACCTCAGATTCAGTGTATAGGCAAACAATATGCCGAGGTATTTGTATTCATTCACATTGATAAATTCACCTTCATAAAACTATTTCTCTCTTGTGGCATCTCACCACCTCTACGAAGCGAGGCGTCAAACTGGCTTATCCCACATGGATACATGCGAGGGGTCGAACTGACTATCGCACATGTATACATACCCTTTAATTTGCAGGGTACCCGTGAAGATCCGGGCTAGAATAGGTCCTCAGTAACCCATGCTTGCTGTAAAAGGCGACTAAGCTTGTCGTACGAGGCAACTGATGGGATCGAGTGGTCAGGTTCGTTGACTTGGTTGATGCATGTCATCGTATCCCAATTGCGTGGATCCTGATGTCAATTACTGGATTGTCTGGTCCAGACACGATTATTTATAGACCGCCGTCATTTAGCTGGAATATTGCTGAGTGCAGCGATGAACAACAAAAATTATTAGCAGGGGTTGACTGTCAGGTGTTGCCAAATGTGCGAGGGGTCCAAACATAACTATTAAAAGATTAAATCAGCACTCAAAATAAAACAAGAGACTGTTGTACAATTTCTTTAATACCGCAGTTCTTCAACATCTTGAAATGAAATAGCAGCCACAACATAGGGCTCACTGTGGACAATATCATTCCACTAATATCTAGCATGTGTACGAACCAAGTCTACTTACACATACATGCACAAAGTTTCGTCATGAATGAAATGATACGATTTGAAAAAGACATGACACAAAATACAGAATATTAATCTCATTTAACCTGATCTTACTCTGATAAAACCAGGGATACGTGTACTAACATACGAAACTACTTTCAGCCACTACTATAATTTCTTTTAATAACCTGGAAAGATGAGTGAGAGTGATTTTACGCGACTTTTAGCAACATTCCATCAATATCACGGCGGGGGCACCAGAAATGGGCTTCACACATTGTACCCATGTCGGGAATCGAACCCGGGTCTTCTGCATGACGAGCGAACGTTTTAACCACACAGCTTCCCCCTGGAAAGATGAAGTCTCAAACAAACCACCAAAGAATCCTTCAGAAGTAACTGTTGCTATTACCGAGTTTCCTATTCTACAGTCGTCTCATTGATTTAGCTGCTTCTATTTAGTCAAGGAGTGAGAGTACACTTTTACACTGATTTTGGCAATAGTCAAGAAATATCTTGGTGGAAGACAGCAGAAAGAAGCTTCATACATAGTACCTATGTAAGGAAATGAACCCAGGTTTTCTGCATCTGCCCAGAGAGTTGAAGGTCAGTGGGTCAATCCATGGACAGGAAATACCTAGACATCAAAAGATGGTACTTATTACTCTGTCTGACCCTCAGCTTTAAGAGGATAAAACAAGAACAGGTGGGATGGGAGTCAATATACTGTGTCTGTGTAGGTGTCCATGTGTCTGCAGCATGGTATCTCAGAGGGCAAGGCAAGCAGTATAAAAACAGCATTAGTCGGGACTAGTACAAGCAGCCTCACACACACAAACATGGCTATTTAAGTGCAATAATCTTGAACATGATGTTCAACCCAAATTTCACCTGTCTAGTCAGGAGTGACAAGAAAATGATTGGTTGGTTGGGTTGTTGTTTAACGCCACACTCGGCAACATTCCAGCTACATGATGGCGGGCTATAGATAATCGAGTCTGGATCAGACAATCCAGTGATTGATATCACGAGCATCGATGACATGCAACAACCAAGTCATCTAACCTGACCACCGACTCCATCCTGTTAGTCGCCTCTTACAACAAGAATAATCGCCTTTTACGGCAAGCATGGGTTACTGAAGACCTATTCTACCCCAGATCTTCACGGGTTGACAAGAGAATGAACAGGCTGTTGCAACAGATATGCAAGAACAGCACAAACAATCAACATTCACATAACACCTGTGGTGAGTGAGTGAGTTATGTTAAACACCGCTTTGATTCGTTTCTTTGTTTGTTTGTTGTTAAACCCCGCATTCAGCAATATTCCAGCTACATGACAGCGGTCTGTAAGTATTCGAGGCGGGACAAGACAATCCAGTGACTGATATCATGAGCATCGATCTACGCAACTGGGATACAATGACATGCATCAACCAAGTCAGCAGGCCTGACCACCCGATCCTGTTAGTCGCCTCTTACAACAAGAGTAGTCGCCTGTTATGGGAAGCAACACCACTTTTACTGCTGAGGTACGCTGACATACTATCAACCAAGTCTGGAGCCCGACCACCCAATCCATTAAGCTGCCTCTTACAACAAGTATAGGTTGATGGGGACCTATTCTAACCTGGAACCCCCATAGGGAGACCAGCATAGGTTAACCTGGGGACCTATTCTTACCTGGAATCCCCACAGGAAGACCAGCATAGGTTAACCTGGGGACCTATTCTAACCCGGAATCCCCATAGGAAGACCAGCATAAGTTGCCCTGGGGACCTATTCTAACCCGGAATCCCCATAGGAAGACCAGCATAGGTTAACCTGGGGACCTATTCTAACCTGGAATCCTCACAGGAAGACCAGCATAAGTTGACCTGGGGACCTATTCTCCCCGAATCCCCACAGGGAGTCCAGCATAGGTTGCTGGGGACCTATTCTAACCTGGAATCCCCACAGGAAGACCAGCATAGGTTGAACTGGGGACCTATTCTAACCCTGAATCCCCACAGGGAGTCCAGCATAGGTTGCTGGGGACCTATTCTAACCTTGAATCCTCACAGGAAGACCAGCATAAGTTGACCTGGGGACCTATTCTAACCCAGAATCCCCACAGGGAGTCCAGCATAGGTTGTTTGGGACCTATTCTAACCTGGAATCCCCACAGCAAGACCAGCATAGGTTCTGATGACCTATTCTAACCCGGAATCCACACAGGGAGTCCAGCATAAGTTGCTGGGGACCTATTCTTACCTGGAATCCCCACAGGAAGACCAGCATAGGTTGATGGGGACCTATTCTAAGCTGAAATCCCAACAGGCAAGTAGAGTGAGTGAGCGAGGGCAACGGCTGGGTTTGACAATACTTGTACAGTATTGAAGTTATGGCACAGCGTGAGAGAGTTGAGATAATTGACAGCAACACATAATTATTTCAGTCAAGACACAAATTCTTTCTCTGAAAGGAAGAACAGAACAAGGGTTTTTTTTACCAACACATTAATTTTCAGATTATTAATTGAAAATGACCTTATTGTTTGATGTTCAATAATTTGACAACCTGGAGACGATGACCAGCTCCGAGATTCCACTACATTTAATCAGGGACCAAACCCTAGAGATCAAGCGTGACCTTGACCTATTAATTCAGCTACTCCCACACCAGAATAATTCTCCCCACACCTTTCGATTCAGAATTGAAGACTACTCATTGGATTTTTACTTAGGGTTAGTAGTCTCGATCTAGCAGACTAGCGTGAATTTTGAAGGATGTATAGACATTGAAAATAGTTATGTAACACCACTTCATATTTCACATATATGAAACTTTCATGTATCTTTTGGAGTGAGTGAGTATGGTTTTTATATTCCAGCAATATCCCGGCAGGGGACACCAGAAATGGGCTTCACACATTGTACCCATGTCGGGATTCAAACCTGTGTCTTCGGCATGACGAGTGAACGCTTTAACCACTAGGCTACCCGACCGTCCTGTATCTTTTGGAAACAGACATATGATATTGATCTTATCTTAAAATCATGATGCCACAGGTACCTGCCAAAACTTTACGTGAACACTAAGTTAAGTTTCTCTAGATGATCGCAAGTACCATCATATTACATTGCAAAGAACCAGATGACGCCACTGTAAGTGTAGTCAAGCAACTATTGCCATGGAACAGTCATGGGACATAAGATAACCAATTTTAGTTATAGGGATTTATCCAGATCTGATCAGAGGCTGGTATTTGGCCACTCGCCGCAGCAAATGTCACTACAAATTCCAAAATTAGAACAAAAGCAATTGCCCAGTCACATTAATATGTACAATGTATAACTAATAACAAAATATATGGCTTTGTAAAAAGAACCTGGTTTTCACTGATAAAATGACCAATAAAGAGGATTTAACACTTCAATTAATATTATATCAAAATGCAATATTAAAATACTCTGAATTTGAAAAAAATATGAATTTAAATAATGTTATATTTGAACAAAATAACTTGTATCCCAATTTTCCTGCCAGGGACACTGAGGTTTGAATCCTAGATAAATCCCTGTTACATTTCAGTAAGTCAATATGAATCTGTCATACTGTAAACAGGCGCCACGATTCGCTGTGCAGAGTTGCATCCCTTGGGCACACCAGAAACCTATGATTGTGGGTTCGAATCCTGGTTCGTCCCAATAATGTTTCTAGGTTTGTCGGTACCATACCCGTGCTCGTGAGTTTCACCGAAGTGGTAAACGTCTGAGACCTGCATCACTTCGGGTTTTCCTCCCACATTAAGCTGACACACCGTGATATAACTGGAATACTGTTAAAACTTTTAACAGTATTCCAGTTATATCACGGCATGACAGCTTAATGTGGGAGGAAAGACCAAGTGATGCAGGTCTCAGACGTTTACCACTTCGGTGAAACCCAAAAGCACGTGTATGGTGCTGACAAACCTAGAAACATAATCAGGGCGAACAGAATTCGCCATGTTCTTTATGAACCCATTTCGTCACACGATTTTGATTGGACTATGCATACACTCACAAAATTCTGAACCTGATAAAGTTTGCAATTCTTAATTGTATGTGATTGAGAATTATTTAGATTCTACCAACTCTCCAGATGTACAATAACACCATGACCATACTTGAAAGAGGTCATCTGTAAATTTGCACAATAATATTTAAGCATTAAACAACATGCATATCCTTCAGAAACAGTGATGAGAACTTATACTGAAATTATATCTAGTATAATCTAATGGGAACTATTCACTGGTGGAACCCTGGGGGATGAAGGGGTGTGCACCCTCCTTTTTTCAGACACCTTACATGCTAACTTCGCCCTTGGCCAAGTCTCTTCATCACTTGAGCGTAATGTGCACCCCTTTTTATAATCTGTGATCCACCTCTTCTATTTTGTAAAATAGTGTTTCAGCTGACCATGGAAACAATTGTTCACCTGTATCCATGGTAACAGTTTCTTCTAGTCTTGGAACCTAAGACCCCTCCAAAACAGATGTCTGTATGACAATGAGACACAATCTACATGTTCATGGCAGTGATGAATGTCCTCATCCGATCACACGTTGATCTCATGAGAAGCACTCAGTTATCTTGGACTTCACACATAGAATTATGGGTAACAGTACGCTCTCAGACATCCACACACAACACCTTGACACAACATGTAGGTTCATTATTACACAGCCCTTAAACGTCACACTCTAATCTTGCGGTGTCACACCTGAAGCTAAGTCTATTATCTGTTGTGAAGCTGCAATGGTGTGGTTTTCGAGATATTTCTGGCTGTTTTCATCTGTAGTGTCGAGGAAGTAGCGATAGTTTATCATCATGCCACATGACTGAGTGAGTCCACGCATCGACGCATCGGCCAACCAGTTCAGTCTCCACATCACGGCTCCATTCTTTAGGTGAAATGTTGCTGAGGATTATAGAGAAGGCAGTTCAATAGTATATTTCCATAAACACCAACAAAACATCTTTTGTCTTTAAAACTACATTTCCTTCTAAAAAATATTTCCTACCCTATAAAAGGTGAGACCAGTATTGTTGGGATTGAACATTGCTCTCAACATCAGTGAAACATTTTGAAACATTTTGACCATACCATGTGTATACACACGACATGAAGCCTCTTTTCAGCCTCTATGTTGACAGAGATGATAATTAAGCATAATTAAGGAAATCATAAAACTGCTGGACTGATGAACATTATAATTAAGTCCAATGATGGGATGATTCCAACTATGGAAGAGGACCTTCTGACCTGAGGTCGTTGCCTTGTGCACATGACCAAAGGGGACCTTCTGACTTGAAGTCGTTGCCTTGTACACATGACCAAAGGGGACCTTCTGATCTGAGGTTGTTGCCTTGTGCCCATGACCAAAGTGGACCTTCTGACCTGACCTCGTTGCCTTGTGCACATTACCAAAGGGGACCTTCTGACCCGAGGTCATTGCCTTGTTCACATGACCAAATGAGACCTTCTGGCTTGAAGTCGTTGCCTTGTGCACATGACCAAAGGGGACCTTCTGATCTGAGGTTGTTGCCTTGTGCCCATGACCAAAGTGGACCTTCTGACCTGACCTCGTTGCCTTGTGCATATGACCAAAGGGGACCTTCTGACCTGAGGTCGTTGCCTTGTGCACATGACCAAAGTGGACCTTCTGACCAGAGGTCGTTGCCTTGTACACATGACCAAAGGGGACCTTCTGATCTGAGGTTGTTGCCTTGTGCACATGACCAAAGAGGACCTGATTTAAGGTCATTGCCTTGTTCACATGACCAAATGAGACCTTCTGGCTTGAAGTCGTTGCCTTGTGCACATGACCAAAGGGGACCTTCTGATCTGAGGTCATTGCCTTGTTCACATGACCAAAGAGGACCTGATTTAAGGTCATTGCCTTGTTCACATGACCAAAGAGGATCTGATCTGAGGTCATTGCCAGGTTCACATGACCAAAGGGGACCTTCTGGCCTGACGTCGTTGCCTTGTGTACATGACCAAAGAGAACCTTCTGATTACATGTTTACATGACAAAATATGATCTTCTGATCCGAGGTCATTGCCTTGTTCACATGACCAAAGAGGACCTTCTGATCCAAGGTCATTGACTTGTTCACAAGACCAAAGAGGACCTTCTGATTCGAAGTCATTGCCTTGTGCACATGACAAAAGAGGACCTTCTTATCTGAGGTCATTATCTACAGAACTGTGGGACAACTCCACTAAGATAGCCAACTGACTTAAGTCTAGCCCCCTGTTAACTTAGAGACTGCCTCCTTGGTTTAGTGGATAGAGCATCTGCCTGGAGAGCGTAAGAACAGAGGTTCGATCCCTGGTAGCGTCAGACAAAAAGACATTAAAAGATGGTACTTCATGTTGAAGTGACCCAGTAACCCTTCTCACCAACAGAATTATACATGTTTGAAATGAAAAAGTAACCATTCTCACCAACAGGATTGAGTGCATATCCTCTCCTCTTCTCAACATAAAGGTATTGGGCACACAATCTCATCAGTGGTGCCTTAATGATATCAAGAAGGTCGGGACTGTTCAGCCACTGGTGACTTTGTATACAATGTTTAAATGTCTCCAGAGCATTTCGATTCTTCCCATGAGGTTGAAGCTGTAGCAGCTCTGACCTTGTCAGGAGGTTGTCTTCTATCACCTCTCCAATGTCTGTAACATGAAAGTGAGTGACAGTAGGGGCAATTAAACTCCAGGAAACATGACAGTAGGGACAATTAAACTTCTGGAAACATGACAGTAGGGGCAATTAAACTCCAGGAAACATGACAGTAGGGGCAATCAAACTCCAGGAAACATGACAGTAGGGACAATTGAACTTCTGAAAACATGACAGTAGGGACAATTAAACTTCTGGAAACATGACAGTAGGGACAATTAAACTTCTGAAAACATGACAGTAGGGGCAATCAAACTCCAGGAAACATGACAGTAGGGGCAATCAAACTCCAGGAAACATGACAGTAGGGGCAATTAAACTTCTGGAAACATGACAGTAGGGGCAATTAAACTTCTGGAAACATGACAGTTGGGGCAATTAAACTCCAGGAAACATGACAGTAGGGGCAATTAAACTTCTGGAAACATGACAGTAGGGGCAATTAAACTTCTGGAAACATGACAGTTGGGGCAATTAAACTCCAGGAAACATGACAGTAGGGACAATTAAACTTCTGAAAACATGACAGTAGGGACAATTAAACTTCTGAAAACATGACAGTAGGGACAATTAAACTCCAGGAAACATGACAGTAGGGGCAATTAAACTCCTGGAAATATGACAGTAGGGGCAATTAAACTTCTGGAAACATGACAGTTGGGGCAATTAAACTCCAGGAAACATGACAGTAGGGGCAATCAAACTCCTGGAAACATGACAGTAGGGGCAATTAAACTTCTGGAAACATGACAGTTGGGGCAATTAAACTCCAGGAAACATAACAGTAGGGACAATTAAACTTCTGAAAACATGACAGTAGGGACAATTAAACTTCTGAAAACATGACAGTAGGGGAAATTAAACTCCTGGAAACATGACAGTAGGGGCAATTAAACTCCTGGAAATATGACTGTAGGGGCCATCAAACACCTGGAAATATGACTTTAGGGGCAATGATTCTATCCCCACATTGATGCACTTACCACTGATGTGTAGGACCTTGTTTATCTCCCCTATAAGCCACACTTACCACTGATATGTAGGGCCTTGTTTATCTCCCCTATAAGCCACACTTACCACTGATATGTTGGACCTTGTTTATCTCCCCTATAAGCCACACTTACCACTGATGTGTAGGGCCTTGTCTATCTCCCCTATAAGCCACACTTACCACTGATGTGTAGGGCCTTGTTTATCTCCCCTATAAGCCACACTTACCACTGATATGTTGGACCTTGTTTATCTCCCCTATAAGCCACACTTACCACTGATATGTTGGACCTTGTTTATCTCCCCTATAAGCCACACTTACCACTGATGTGTAGGGCCTTGTTTATCTCCCCTATAAGCCACACTTACCACTGATATGTTGGACCTTGTTTATCTCCCCTATAAGCCACACTTACCACTGATGTGTAGGGCCTTGTCTATCTCCCCTATAAGCAACACTTACCACTGATGTGTAGGGCCTTGTTTATCTCCCCTATAAGCCACACTTACCACTGATGTGTAGGGCCTTGTTTATCTCCCCTATAAGCCACACTTACCACTGATATGTAGGGCCTTGTTTATCTCCCCTATAAGCCACACTTACCACTGATGTGTAGGGCCTTGTTTATCTCCCCTATAAGCCACACTTACCACTGATGTGTAGGGCCTTGTTTATCTCCCCTATAAGCCACACTTACCACTGATATGTAGGGCCTTGTTTATCTCCCCTATAAGCCACACTTACCACTGATGTGTAGGGCCTTGTTTATCTCCCCTATAAGCCACACTCGGAAGCCTGGTATGGGAGACATACTTGAATATTTGTCTATTTGTGGGTATTCGACCTGCAGCTCTCTCACAACTCTCTTTATCAAGTAGTTTCCAAGATCAACACTCTGGAGACCTATAAAAAAGCCATATATCTGATCAACCCAAAATGGAGGGCCTGTGATGGGTAATGGCCTGACTTTCATATTGCAATTTATTGCAACAATGATTCTTGTATTGCGATAGGTACCACAATATATCATGTACCTTCTTTCGACTGAACTTTGTTATGAACCTGAATTAAAAAAGGGCGTATATCAGATTTACCCTGCAAATTTTTGTAGTGTTTCACCATTTTGTTGGATGGCGCTATGTCCACAACCCATGCATAATAGACACATTTATACACAGCAAGCTGGTTGCGAAAAAAATGTCTTTTTCGATCACAGGAATCAGTTGTTAACTTCATAATTTCATAATTTCAATTTGTCTTGTCACCAAGGTCATTAACATAAACGTTGCCATCAAGTTGAAAATATACATGATTCTGAAAATAAAAATATACCAGTATTTTCCACATGTATTGTGATTCGCATTCATCAAATTGTGGTGTTCTGGTATACCAGTAATACCACCTCTATTATCGAAATTGGGATAAGCCTGAGTTTCAGGTTCGGCTCGTCATGCCAAAGATACAGATTCAACTCCAACTAAGTCCAAAGATGGGTACAATGTATGTAGCCTATTTGTGGTTTGTAATACGGCTTGATAATGCTAAACGTAGCATTAAACACAACTCCCTCAATCAGTCATGTGGAACAGAAGTTCTAAAGTTAATTAACTGCATAAGCATCCAAGTTGTGAAAGTATTGATTATTTATCAATCTGAGACAACAGAAAAACAGCAATTTTTGAAAACTATCATCAAAACCATGGCCATTGTAAATTGCATATATCAGTCAAGTGAGTGAGTGAGTGTGTGAATATGGTCTTATGCCGCTTTTAGCAATATTTCAGCAATATCACGGCAGGAGACACCAGAAAATAGGCTTCACACATTATACCCATGTGGGGAATGAAACCCGGGTCTTCGCCGTGATAAGAAAATGCTTAGACCACTAAGCTACCCCACAGCACCGCGTATATCAATCGAAACAGTATAAACAGTTATCAACTTCACTACAAGTTGAGTGTGTGAACAAAATGTTGTGCGCGAAACTTTCAAATGCAATTGGGATACAATGACACACAATCAACCAAGACACCAAGCCTGAACGCTTGATCCATTTAGTCAACAAACGTTGGTTGCGGGGGGGTCCTATTTTTACCCAGAATCCCTAGGGGTTCAGGTTGGTGGAACCCTGAGCCAGAGATCCAGATAAGCTGCGTATCTGCGTAAAAAATGCATCAGAAATGCAGAAATACGCAGTAAAATAATATCCAAGCGTATCAATATGCAACGAACATTAAAGATACGCTACAAAAATAAAACTTGTGCATATATTCAAAATATTGGGAAGTAACCCTGCGTATACGATTGGCAAATCAGCAACTTATTTTGAAATTATAAACGGGCATTCCGTCAACCTTGCCAAACTCCACGATGACAGTTACATCATGATCATTTGCCATCACACTTGTGGAAGTATCGTGGTATTTTTTAGTCCTATAAAGCTCTCGAACCCACACAACACCAGTTTGCAGGAACTAGATGAATAGTGTTTTTAAATATTTAACTTAAATACCCACATGTGTAAAAACTAGTGGGTAACAGAAATTTGAATACCCAGATAGAATTACTGATACGCAGTGATTTTAAAATGCATGGGTAAAACACCCACAACACCAAAAGCTTATCTGGAGCTCTGCTGAGCACAAGCAAACCAAGGATTATTATCAGTGCAAATGTGGGACTAAAATTATCTGCAAATCCTGGAGGAACAAAGGGACAAAACACAGCGAATTGTGGCACCCACAAAGTCAAACCCAACCTGAATGATGCTCCTACCTTTCTGTGTGGACGTGATGGAGTAGAAGACAGCGGTGGATATCTTGGAAGGGTCCTCGACCTCTTGTTCTGTGGGTGGGTCCAGGACCTCAGGACTAGACTCTTCAGGGTTACTGCTGCCTCGGAACCCCGGGGACTGGATGATGGACTGAGGGAAAAATTTGTCACTTTCAGTCATTATCCAAAATTCAGAGGTGTTAAAATTTGTGAATCTCATTTCGCCGAAAGGGTGCTAGATAATGAACTGTTGTAATTAGAAAATTTGCTACCTCCTCATGCATTGACATGTGATACCCTTCTCGAATTCTGAATCCACAGGTTTATTTTGTGAATCATACTGTGAATTAAGATGTTCATGTGCTCATTACCAATCTGTTTCTTCAGTTTATGTGTAAAAGTATATATTTTTTTGCTAAATATGAATCCAGAGGAATATAAAGTTAATTTAGCTATCCTTATACTTGTTGCTATACCAAAGTTATGAATTGGCTGCCGGAAACGAAACATGATGCATTGACAGACAGTGTCTGTTCATATTGTTGTTTATCAACCCTCCTCACATGTATTGATGATGAAATATTGTCTGTAAGGGCTGTATGGAGTACAACAACAGGTTCTCTTGGCATACTGTTGTGGGTGAAGACGTAGCACCGTCGGTACGGTCCGACACGCCGCTTGACGTCTGTCCAGCTCTTCACCGGGTGGACTGCCTCATAGTCTGTTATCTGGGGAATGAAATGCCATGAAATGATAATAATAATAATAATGATGATGATGATGATGATGACCACCAAATCTATTTTGCAAAACAACGATAGGCTGCTGGGAGCAAAACATGAATATCCAAGGAGATTGTCTATGGTAATTCCCTTTAGTTATCTCCCCTTTCAAGTTACTGGCCCTTCTCCAAAATAACTGGCCCACTATTAAATGATGGAGGCTGCAAAGCACTATGTCGAGTAGCGACTGAGTTACCTTGGCATCTCAAACATTTTAGAACTCCTCACCCCAAAAACACCTTTTCCTGCACGCTGAGATTAAATCTTGGCTTCCATTTGCCTCATTTCGTGAAAGTTGTTGCTGTACACATTACAAAATGGCCGTTTGTTATTCTACCGAGATGATCAAGATCCATCTTTCTTTGAGTTAACCATTCACATGACCTCAGTCCCCTAAACATTTTCTTATCAAAATTACACAATTCACGAATAATGTCCAAATAAAAAATTAAACATACAGGGAGAAGGGATTTTGACTAGCCAGCTGGGCCATCCTCTTTATATTTCAGCAAGCCCTTCATATCATTAACTGGCTAAGGGCCAATGGGCCAGTAGTAAAATTAACCCCTGCATGGTTGAAACGTAGCTACATGATATAAACAAGAAGCTGTTATCCATAAAGTTGTACTTTTGAGAATGTTAAGTGAAAATATGCTAAGCCATTGACCAGGGTAATCCTCCCCATGGAGTTGAGAATGTTAAGTGAACATAGACTGATCATTGGCTAATGATAATTGTAATTCAATCAGCACATGTTTTGTGGAGTGAGTAGCCGACCCGTGAAGATCCGGGGTAGAATAGGTCTTCAGCAACCCATGCTTGCCATAAAAGCCGACTATTCTTGTCATAAGAGGCGACTAACGGGATCAGGTGGTCAGACTCGCTGACTTGGTTGATCCATGTTATCAATCCCAATAGCGTGGATCGCTGCTCATTATATCAATCACTTGATTGTCTGGTCCAGGCTGGATTATTTACAGACCACCATCATATAGCTCGAATATTGCTGAGTGCGGCGTTAAACAACAAACACACAAACAGACAAATCCAAGTAACACTGCATGCTGGACTGACCTTCTGGACCATGTCACATGGAGACTCCCACGTGACTCGCTGGAGATTGAGAAGCCCCACAGAGAACCACAGCACCAACAGCTCCTTGAGGGACAGGTTGAGGGCTTGGTAGTACGCCATGTCTACTTCATTGGTGCAGGTCGACATGGAGTTCTGAAGATCAAGACACGCATCTTTTAGGGTTATAATATTACTTATACTATTCCTAACTCATACTTATTGCTTAGTTCTACTCATTTCCCAAAGGTAGTGGAAACTTCCTGAACTGTGTTCCCAGAGAACAGAGAACACATCTCACCTGAACGCACCCAGGGACTGCTCATCTGCATCGGAAGCATGTGACCAAGCCTGGTTACTCGTCACTCTCTCATTTCCCGTACTTAATTTGGCCAAAAAAGGGGAATGGGGGACGGCTGGGTGGGCGCTTTAGCGTATGAATCAGGATAAGAATAAATAATATTTTTACCATACAAAATATATATTTTATCTTATCCTGACTCATTCCTATTGCTTGAATCAATCCAACGGTTGGTGATGGGTTCCAGCTGTTCGTGGTTCAAATAGAAATCTGTTCATTAACCCCAGGGAACATGATATTGTTCTTAATGTCTCTGTAAACAAAAAACAGTGTACCACCTCCACCTTGTGAAAGAGAGGAGTAAATCTGTTAGATTTCATGTACCGTATTCGACTAAATAAGCGCCGTTGGCGATATTTGCTAATATATTGGCTAGTGAACAATCCCAATTAGCACCTTCCGATTGATCAATGTACACAAGACTTATTTATTGTTGTATAATACGCACTCGTGTGTTATATGCACCCTTAATTATGGGCAATTAAATTCTGGAAAAATATATCTGTCGTATATAAACATTTCAGGCTGTCAGAATAAACCACGAAATTTACGATCTTTCAGCTCTGTTTTCAACTCTGTCACCAAAATAATATTCTGATAAGAGCCCCGGTATTTATAAAGTTTGTTGATGGAAAGTGACTTTTCCTCACTTACTTTAAACGATCAAGTAATTAGAAAAGGACATACCGTATTTGACGTAATAAGCGCCCGGGGTGCTCTCAAAATTGGAAGTAGTGGGCTCTTATTAGAATATAATTTTGGTGAGCACAAAAACAGAGTTGAAAAATTGTAAATTTCGTAGTTTATGCTGACAGCCTGACATGATACAAAAGAAAAGTATGTGCGTATCATACACGACAGATATATTTTCCAGAATTTAATTGCCCACAATTAAGGATGCATATAACACACGAGTGCGTATTATACACAAATAAATAAGTCTTGTGTACATTGATCAATCGGAAGGGGTGCTAATTGGGATTGTTCACTAGCAAATATATTAGCAAATTTCGCCATGGGCACTTATTAGAGAGGGGCGCTTATTACGTTGAATACGGTAATCTTAACATAATCATTTCAACTCATGCTCTGTACACGATCATGCTCATTACACAGTAAAACCAGGGCAACGGCCGATCTTCTGTTAGGCATAGCTAATGGTCAAAACTGGTGAATTCCAGAAAGATCTCTGAGGTAACGGTCAGTGAAAACCATATCTGATCTCCAGCAACAACTTTTCATAATCGTTGGGATGGAGCAGTTTCCATGTAGCAGACGCAGACGCTATGGCTCTCACTTCCATTGAGGCGGTCTAGTGTCGAATGAAACCAAAGTGGTAGACATTGTACATGAACAGTATGAACCGATAGGAAACAGTTTGATTAACATCGGTCTCTTGTCATTACTGTTGGGGTGCAATGATTCTACCAAAAATACATGAAATATACCTCATGTAGATATAAAGGTATGAGTATGATAACATACTATATTTTCTTGAGTATAGTTTGCACCCGAGTATAATGCACACCCCCCTCTAGCGGATTCAGTATTTTGAAAAAAAACCATTCAAATATTATTCCCAGAAATAAATAACAGCGTATCCCTTCAGCGAATTCCGGTAAACGAACGAGTGATGAGAATCTTGGTCAGTACAAATTTGAAATTAGAGATAAAAAAATCACCAGACATGTTGAATTACCATTTAAATTGAATTTTTTGTTCTGCTAGGCATTGTTTTACATCCAAGGATTAAGATTACCTTGTCTATTTTCTCATAAAATTCAGCTGTACACACGTTTTCTTGGAATCTACCTGTGATTCGGTCAAGACACACCCAATGATATAACTTTACAGGATTTTAATGCAAGGATTGGCAAAATTTGTATCTGAAACTATTTTTTATCATCAGCAATAATATATTCCAATATCTTGATATTTTAGTTGCATCTTTTATTAAATATATTAGCTGGAAGTGTTCGTTGTTTGAGAACAATGTTTATAGCAGCATTAGAAATTGGCACTAGTCCTATAGTCCTTATCAAACTGCCCAATAGTTAAGGTATCATAAGGACTAGTAGAAATTTACTATTATTATTTTTATATAAAGGGTTTTCCTGTGTGATATTAAAAGGACTAGTGGACTAAAACAGTGAGTTTCTATTGCTGTATAGGCAGCCATTTTGTTTGTATCTTGACATAATCCTGCAACTGACCAGTACATCCACTCTCATGTCCACCAGAAATTTGACCCCGCTGTCGACCTTGCCAATTTGACCAAACAACTGTTGATATCGCGGCATCAGAGCACCTCGCAACCTCTCCTCCGTCTTTAACAACATCGCTTCACTGCGGTCCTGCAGAAACAACAAAACAGGTCAATTGTACACTCACACATCCACATATACATACATTTCCATGTTGTTTCAAATAATTTTAGTATTTATAGGCATTTAACACTAATGCCAGTTAAACTTCCAACTTTGGCTTTGAGATTTCTTGTATTTTAACGCCAATGGCACATTTGAGTAATAACTTCTGAAGGTGAGGTGAGGTGAAATTGGGTTTAACGTCGCGTCCAAGATTATTGCACTTATATAGCGACGTGCATGCACGTGTGTGTGTGTGTGTGGCTGTTTGTACTAGTCTGCACTGATGCTGATTTATAGTGTTAGCCCACTGAGATACCATGCCGCAGTTTAACATGAATACCCCACTCAGACACAGTATACTGACTCCGAGTCGACCAGTCCTCATTTTAGCCCCTTAATGCTGAGCGCCAGACAGGGTAACAACAAGTACCATCTTTTAACGTCTTTTGGTATGACGTGGCCGGGAATATCTTCTGAAGGGCACACTTAAAATTCATATTTGGTTCAACAACGATATGTTTAAGGATTGACTGTGTATTTTTTTCGGTTCATTGAGGTATGAATCGAAAAGCTGATGTGCAAACTGTATGAATCCGCGTTTGCTGTTTCATTCATTCTCGGCCTTCGGTTTCAAAGGGTAGTTTGGACAATGAATATGCACGAAAGTCGCTAAATGTCCCGTGCATGACGATACACATGAGCAGAAAGGGAATTCCCTCGACTGTAATATTGGGATTCCCCGACATTCTGAAGTAATAAAAGTAGTGCGCCGCAGTGGGCGTGGCTTATTTTTTACATTCATTGGGAAATGAATGCAATAACACGTGACCAATTCAGCTAATCAGAATGCAGGAATTTCCATGAACACAACGAAAATTTAATTATTGTTATATGAAGCCAGTGATAAAATAGGGAATTTATCAATGTCAATGAAATGGTAAGGGACAAACTTTCCAAATTATAACTGTATGTTATATAATCATGGTGAAATGACCAAGTTGGAAGAAGGCTCAAAGTATTTTAAACAAAGGCACTCTTAAATTACAAGGGACACACCCAAAATTCCTCAAGGGTGCCCTGTGAAACTCGAAAAAATATTTACTTATTTTGATGGATCAAAAAAAACTCAACCAAACCTGGCAACCAAATGGTAAAGTAAGCAGTAAAGCACCCACTACATCCTCACCATTATGAGCCAAGTAATGCTGCAAATTTTGACTTTTAAAATGGCTGCCATGGTGGCCATATTGAAATTTGTGGCCAGATATATATATTTAAGAAAAAGTTCAGATGGCACTGTTTGACAAAGTGTGAGGCATCAAATGGCACTGTTTGACCAAGTGCAAGGTATCAAATGGCACTCTTTGCGCAAGTGCAAGGTTTCAAATGGCAGTGTTTGACCAAGTGCAAGGTATCAAGTGGCACTGTCTGTCCAAGTGCTAGGTATCAAATAGCACTCTTTGCGCAAGTGCTAGGTATCAAGTGGCACTGTTTGCCCAAGTGCAAGGTATCAAATGGCAGTCTTTGCGCAAGTGCTAGGTATCAAGTGGCACTGTTTGCCCAAGTGCTTGGTATCAAGTGGCACTGTCTGACCAAGTGATACTATAGGTATCAAATAACCCTGTTTGACTAAGTGCTAGGTATCAAATGGCATTCTTTTTGCAAGTGCTAGGTATCAAGAGGCACTGTTTGACCAAGTGCTAGGTATCAAATAACACTGTTTGACCAAATGCTAGGTATCAAATGGCACTGTTTGACAAAGTGTGAGGTATTAAATGGCACTGTTTGACCAAGTTTTAGGTATCAAATGGCACTCTTTGCGCAAGTGCTAGGTATCAAATGGCACCTTTTGCACAAGTGCTAAGTATTAAGTATCACTGTTTGCGCAAATGCTAGGTATTAAAAGGCACTGTTTGACCAAGTGCTAGGTATCAAATGGCATTGTTTGCGCAAGTGCTAGGTATCAAATGGCACTGTTTGAAGGAGTGCTAGGTATCAAGTGGCACTGTTTGCGCAAGTGCTAGGTATCAAATGGCACTGTCTGACCAAGTACTGGGTATTAAATGGCAGTGTTAGCCCAAGTGCTAGGTATCAAATGGCACTGTCTGACAAAGTACTACATATCAAATGGCACTGTCTGACCAAGTACTGGATATCAAATGGCACTGCCTGACCAGGTACTAGTTATCAAATGGCACTAGTTGACCAAGTGTTAGGTATCAAATGGCACTGTTTACCTAAGTCAAATGGCAGACTGACACATTACCTGAGCTGCAGGGAGGTTTCTAGACAGCTGCATCACATAGTCGTGGTTGATTCCATATCGTTCAGCCATGAGTCTCAGGAACAAGCTTCTATCTCCTTGAACAGTTAGATTCCGGTAGAAACTGATAAATGACTTACACTTGGCCTGAAAACAAAATTAAGTTACATTTCATAATCATGGTAATACATGTATTATTATTACAATTATTTATATTATTAACAGATTAAAATATTAAAAATGCAGCAAAAAGGGTTTGGGTAATCCTGGTACAGTCAGGTTGGTAAGGCTCATCATCAGCTCAGGGCCCTTGCCCCCTGTATACGCAGCCCAGACAGCGAAATGGGACTTCTCCCAGGAAGCGCTGCCTAGTCAAACCCACCCAGAACTTTTCGGAGAATGTGAAGACTCCCCAACACTGCAGCCTTCTGCATTACCCAGATTGTCAGAAGGGCTGTATTCCTGGTAGCAAACCCAGGCATTCTCCCAATGTCAGTCAACAGATTGGGAGGTATCAAACCTAAGACACCAAGAACAATGTGGAGTCAAACAACTTGGTACTTGGGATGCAAGTGTGGCATTTCGAAAGCGAGGTCCGCATGTTTGCCATGTTTTTCCTCAATCTTGTCAATCATATTACTGTCAAGAGGGACAGAAAATTCAATGATATAAATGATTTCATTGGATTTATCAAAAAAGACAAGATCGGGTTTCTTGGCCTGGATACGTCTGAGGCTGTAAACGGGCCTATTCCAAAGAATTTTGTAGTGATCATATTTCATGACACCCTCTACATATTCCTGCTCGTACCATGAATGAACCTCTGTGTCAAAACCACGAGCATGGCGAAGATGGCATTAAAATGATTGAGCTACACCATCATGTCACTTAAGATCATTTGTTTGTGTCAAAGCTGGGCATCCACTGACAATGTGTTGGACAGACTCATTAAATTCATTGCATAATCTACGTTTCATATTTACATTTTGATGCAAAATCACACATTGACGGTTTCGAGTGGGAAGTGACTGGTCCTGAGCAGCAAACAGAAAGCCTTCTGTTTCACTTTTCAGGCCAGTCGACTTCATTCAAGCAAGGAACTCTGCAACACACTGCACATAAACTCAATGAAGTGGTCGTCCAGAAAGCCTCTCCTTGAAAAGCTGAGTCTGGGCCGACTTGATATGGCACTTCGCTTGGTTAACATTCATTTCTGTACCGTCCAGCAGTACAGAACCATCAACAAAATCAACACTGACATTGAGATTATGTCCCACATCCTTGGCTCGGTTTAGAAAACTGTGGAATGCCTTGTTTTCACAAGAGGATCATCAGACAAATATATATGTGTGCAAAAGTGCACAAAACATTTCTACCATGAAGAGCCTCCACATTAATCAAACCATGCCCTCCCATCAAAATTGGTTAACATAAGCGATTGAGGGAAGGGCGAGGGTGGTGGGATGTATTGTCTGACATGATTCTTCGTGTGAGGGTGTCAATACCCTGAATTTCTTGTTTCGTCCAATCAACAACACCAAAAGAATACGATAGGACAGGTACATCATAAGTATTTGTGGCTTTGACTTTATTGCGAGCGTTCAGCTCTGAACTCCAGATTTTCTTAAGTCTACATTTGTACTCTGGCCGAAGTTTGTCCTTGATATGGGCATTCTGGAGTTTGTCCCTAACCTGCATTCCCAAGTACGTATAGGCCTGACCTTCCACGAGATGGTAAATAACTCCTCCCCCAAGTAATCTGACTGATCCTCCCTATTATTATTACTACAGTGGTCCCTCGCTACAACGCTACCAATGGGGTCCAACCAAATAATTGGTGGGCGTTATAGACGATGAGCCGTTAAACCGAGGCCGAGGCGGGGGAGCGCGCTCTGCAAATCTCACACATTGCAATGATACAAGTTGTTTACTGTTCATAGTGTAAAAATATATATCCATTATTTTTTTCGCCGTTTGTTATTATTTACAAGCCTTAACTGTCACATTCAATGTGAATGTAGTCTACTTACATGAAAATATCGATCGATAATGGTAGTAACAGACGCCATGAGTGAAGAGCCAATCACAATTCATTACACAAGTACAGAGTGTTTCAGTGGCATTGATTGGTCATGTTGTTTAAAATACGGAAAACGAGAGTTTTGACCAGCACTATGCGCATTCATACACATTCATACAAATATAGATACACATTCAAGCCAGATTAATTGGTTTGATACGGTTACTTGATCAAAAGGAATGACGGCCGTGTTGTGACAGCAACTACATGTGAGTTGACAGTGTCGCCTCAAATTGGATTGCCCACTAATTAAGAATATAAACTTCGCTTGTGGTTCTCTATTATTGCATGCATGCGCTTCTAAGATCAAAGGATGTATAGTGTGAAAAGTTAACTAGTTGAACAATCGTATTTCCTGGACTTGCCGCGGATGTTTTCAAACAGATTATTAGAACTCCATTCAGCGATAAACGGTTGATTATGCAATGAGAAGCGTTATGTGCAAATTAACCACGAACAACAATACAATCATGTCTGTGTAAAACTCTCAGTATTAAAAGTGTACATAAATTTTGGGAGCCATGCGTTACCGCTCGTAGTAACTGAGGTAGCGCTTTATCGAAGAGCACAATAGCGAGGGATCACTGTATTACTATTACTATTACTATTAATATTACTATATTAAACAAACCTTGGTAAGGTGGGATGCAGTAAATGTAACAGTCCAAGCTAGGCAGCATCAATTACTATTACTATTACTATTACTATATTAAACAAACCTTGGTAAGGTGGGATGCAGTAAATGTAACAGTCCAAGCTAGGCAGCATCCATTACTATTACTATTACTATTACTATTACTATTACTTTTACTATATTAAACAAACCTTGGTAAGGTGGGATGCAGTAAATGTAACAGTCCAAGCTAGGCAGCATCAATTACTATTACTATTACTATTACTATATTAAACAAACCTTGGTAAGGTGGGATGCAGTAAATGTAACAGTCCAAGCTAGGCAGCATCAATTACTATTACTATTACTTTTACTATATTAAACAAACCTTGGTAAGGTGGGATGCAGTAAATGTAACAGTCCAAGCTAGGCAGCATCAATTACTATTACTATTACTATTACTATTACTTTTACTATTACTATATTAAACAAACCTTGGTAAGGTGGGATGCAGTAAATGTGACAGTCCAAGCTAGGCAGCATCAATTACTATTACTATTACTATTACTATTACTATATTAAACAAACCTTGGTAAGGTGGGATGCAGTAAATGTAACAGTCCAAGCTAGGCAGCATCAATTACTATTACTATTACTATTACTATATTAAACAAACCTTGGTAAGGTGGGATGCAGTAAATGTAACAGTCCAAGCTAGGCAGCATCAATTACTATTACTATTACTATTACTATATTAAACAAACCTTGGTAAGGTGGGATGCAGTAAATGTAACAGTCCAAGCTAGGCAGCATCAATTACTATTACTATTACTTTTACTATATTAAACAAACCTTGGTAAGGTGGGATGCAGTAAATGTAACAGTCCAAGCTAGGCAGCATCAATTACTATTACTATTACTATTACTATTACTTTTACTATTACTATATTAAACAAACCTTGGTAAGGTGGGATGCAGTAAATGTGACAGTCCAAGCTAGGCAGCATCAATTACTATTACTATTACTATTACTTTTACTATTACTATATTAAACAAACCTTGGTAAAGTGGGATGCAGTAAATGTAACAGTCCAAGCTAGGCAGCATCCATTACTATTACTATTACTATTACTATTACTATATTAAACAAACCTTGGTAAGGTGGGATGCAGTAAATGTAACAGTCCAAGCTAGGCAGCATCCATTACTATTACTATTACTATTACTATTACTATTACTTTTACTATTACTATATTAAACAAACCTTGGTAAGGTGGGATGCAGTAAATGTGACAGTCCAAGCTAGGCAGCATCAATTACTATTACTATCACTATTACTATTACTATTACTATTACTTTTACTATTACTATATTAAACAAACCTTGGTAAGGTGGGATGCAGTAAATGTAACAGTCCAAGCTAGGCAGCATCAATTACTATTACTATTACTATTACTATATTAAACAAACCTTGGTAAGGTGGGATGCAGTAAATGTAACAGTCCAAGCTAGGCAGCATCAATTACTATTACTATTACTATTACTATATTAAACAAACCTTGGTAAAGTGGGATGCAGTAAATGTAACAGTCCAAGCTAGGCAGCATCAATTACTATTACTATTACTATTACTATATTAAACAAACCTTGGTAAGGTGGGATGCAGTAAATGTAACAGTCCAAGCTAGGCAGCATCAATTACTATTACTATTACTATTACTATATTAAACAAACCTTGGTAAGGTGGGATGCAGTAAATGTAACAGTCCAAGCTAGGCAGCATCCATTACTATTACTATTACTATTACTATTACTATTACTATATTAAACAAACCTTGGTAAGGTGGGATGCAGTAAATGTAACAGTCTAAGCTAGGCAGCATCAATTACTATTACTATTACTATTACTATATTAAACAAACCTTGGTAAGGTGGGATGCAGTAAATGTAACAGTCCAAGCTAGGCAGCATCAATTACTATTACTATTACTATTACTTTTACTATTACTATATTAAACAAACCTTGGTAAGGTGGGATGCAGTAAATGTGACAGTCCAAGCTAGGCAGCATCAATTACTATTACTATTACTATTACTATTACTATATTAAACAAACCTTGGTAAGGTGGGATGCAGTAAATGTAACAGTCCAAGCTAGGCAGCATCAATTACTATTACTATTACTATTACTATTACTATTACTATATTAAACAAACCTTGGTAAGGTGGGATGCAGTAAATGTAACAGTCCAAGCTAGGCAGCATCCATTACTATTACTATTACTATTACTATTACTTTTACTATTACTATATTAAACAAACCTTGGTAAGGTGGGATGCAGTAAATGTGACAGTCCAAGCTAGGCAGCATCAATTACTATTACTATTACTATTACTATTACTATCACTATATTAAACAAACCTTGGTAAGGTGGGATGCAGTAAATGTGACAG